GAGACAGCAGATGGGTTGTATACGCCGGGGAGGCTAGGCTATTGCTGAGAATGAAATGCACACGGAGATAATTGTTAGCTGCGGTCCCACACGCCGGGGAGAAAGAGTGTAAACGACTGAGGCTCGCATGCGTCACCGCTACTAGAACTGAGGCAGAATGAGTGACAAGCGATTGCAGTGGTAATTGGTAGTGAGTAGACACGAGGATGTGCGACGAGTATTGTGAGGTGCTGCCATGGTCACGTTGCATTCTGCGAGAGTCATTCTAGCAAGTGGCGACTGTGTTGCAAGATGTCAAGAGGAGGTCTCTGTCTGGAGGCGCAGGTCGTCAGCGATGTGTGAGACTGTGCTGTGGGTATGCTTGTGGTGTGTTGGCTTTTCTGTCTGTTTTCCATTTCAGCTCTGTCCGTGTGACCCAGGTTCTCGCAATGGCATCCAAGTCAACGTGTATTGGTCGTGAAGGAAAAAAGGGGTTGGATCCCTTTTTTGCCGGGGAGTGTCAATGTAGTTGAAGATTGAACGATCAATTCACGGTTGTTTGCTCCAAAATCAACTTCCCCAATTTTCGCAGAGGCATCAATACGACAGTCATCGTCTCATCGGTCGCTGTTCAGAAAGAAGTCAGCAGTAAACCATCAGAAGTAATTTTGTGATTTATTATTGTAATATTTGTTCACAGAACTTAGTTGTAACAGTGTTTATATGTTGGTGTTACAATAAAGAATCCTCGAGTCACCAATTGGTGTTTTGGTTTTTCGTCCGTTATTACTAAGCGTTTCTGAGAAACTTCAGGGAACAGCGTGAGCCCGAGCGTAGCAAGAGCTGGGCATTAACGGTCTACGTGACGTGGCTGACAGGGTTCTTTAGTTTACCTATACCTGTGCAACTGTCAAGTGAGCTTATTTGATACGGGTGCACTAGCCCGTTCCTGTTTCCATGCAAGGACGGAGCCGGAACCAGTGGTTTAGGAGTGTTAATATCCCTACCAGTTCTTTTTTCAACGCTGACAGGGACTCGGGGGATAAAATTGATCTGGCCCTTGTGATGACCATGACTTATCATTCCACCTATTGTTTGATGCTAGTTGTGTCCTTGTGTGGGTTTCGTGTGTACTGCACTGTGGGTTTGTTCCCAGGAGACAATAACCATATATCCGACCAAAATTTGTTTGTGTGCCATACTCTTAAGACCCCGAGTTATTGGTAGCCGAGTCCTGACTATTGCCACTTGTACTATTGAGGGTGACATTGTTGTGACATTTGATATTAGTGTGTGCCATGGTGCGATTTCGCACGTTGTAAGTACTAATAGTATTGACTGTGGGAAGTGTGGGCTTACTTAAGCTGCCACTGTTTTTGTTGGCATGATTTTGCGTCATATTTTCCTTATATTTACCAATGGAGTTATGGCTAGGACAGGACAATGTCGAATTTTCCGGGGCTTCGACTTTCTTTCTGGGGTTATTTAGTGGCATGTTAGATTCTGCGGTGATAGGTTGTATGGTTTTATTATTCATTTCGTTACAATCTAGTGACCTTTCGGCTGGTGCTGCACTCTGATGGGATAGTTCTGTGTGTTTTGAGAGGGTGGATGCGATGTGGTCTATTGTATCTCTCACGGGATTGGGAATAATGGCTGCTTGCAATGTCTTATTACTTATTGTACAATTCGGCTTAGCGAGATAATTGTGTGCGCGCCATTCCATGACTGTTTTGACCACCGCAGCCTTTATAAGTTTGTATTTTATAGCTTGCGATAGGGTGTGTTGGGAGTGAATAAATTTTCTGGTCTCTGTCGGTGTTTCGAACTGAAAATGAATGGGACAACACATTTCATGTTGACTCCTCTTCAGCATATAGCACTTAGTCTTGGAGTTAGGCATTTTCGCTTCACAAAGTAAGATGCGCTGTACCTTTTTTATTGCCTCATTGTCCGGAACGTTTTAGACAATAGCACTCAGTTTTGCGTCGAGTCGTTTTGTTACTTCTGTGGTAACAAAGTTAATGAGGTTATCTACCTTAGTTACCGATTCTGTGTCAAGCTTGTTAAGGTTTACCGTTTTCATGAGGATAGTTAGAGGTGTCAGTTCACAGACCTGCGATCTGATATCGCTGATCTGATCTGATAATTTGGATATCTCGGTATTGGTTTCGATGTTTCCAGCATTTACTGACTTACTGTTTTTTATTTCCCTTAACTCAGCCTTAAGTTCTCCTATAGACAACTTTAGAAGTTCTATTTCTGAAGATAGTACTGAAAAAGAGCTTGATGGCTGGAGTTTCTCCATAAGCACATAAGGTGAAGGGAGGAGTTCTGTATGAGCAGAGGGTACCGAATTTTTAGGAGTAGTGCTAATACTGGCTGTCAGTACAGTTTTACTTTGAGTTTCAGCTCGACGCTTACGGCATACACGTGAGTTATGTGACTCACTAAAGCCGTTTTTTGGGGGTGTGTTGCTTGATGTAGCAGTCAAGGACGTTAAATTAGGCACCAGTTTTACAGGGGATTGGGTTCGCTGCTTTTTACTTTGATTAACCATAACTATTAGAAATGAGAGTTAGTGGTTACAAGTATGGAAGTGGTATAGTACTTGTGCAAGTACTAAAACAAGATAAATTTTATGTAACGAATCACGTAAAAATGTAACGCAAACGTTGAACGCACCGCGATACAGAGTGGTTTAGTACTGACTGGCACTTGTAGCAATGCCGGAATTCCAGATGCACCAACCGTACAGCCGCGTTTCACACATGTTCACTTGGACATTTCCTACCAGTTTTCGCCGGCTAAACATTTCTGTCCTCACATGAATGCAGTCTCGCTCGGTGACCTGACGCGATCATAATTCCCAGCATTATTGTTAGGGCGAGTGTTCGAATTTTGAATTCTAAATAATGGCTGCTAACTTAATAGCAGACAGCAAACAATGTTTTCAAGTGTTGCGTAACAGGAGCTTTCGCGTGTAATGGATGCTAATGCACTCTTTAGTTTTTAAATGTCTCACGGGTCGCTCACGCCCTGAAATTAAGGGCTCCATTAGTAGCATCAGACAATGCAAATGAATAGAATCAGCATCGTTACCTTTTGACACACCCTCAAAGCTGATACTAAGCATTGGTTATTTAGCCTGGCGTGGGTCTGAGCCGCGGCCATGTTGACCAAACTCTCTAAGTGTTCATAGCTACACAGTACTCAACTAGCGACGACAGGAACATTTGACCACATGGCCGCAAGACGTTATACTTGTTTTTCTACATTTTTACAAACATCTTGTAGCTGCCCTGTGGAGTCTGCGAGTAGAAATGCAAATTTCCAATTACCAATGGGTTAGAAAGCCAGGTAATCTGGCTTCACGGCTTAAAAGCGGCTTGCATGAGTGATATCTTAATTTCCTCCATTTTTACAACACCAGGTAAAACCACGTTGTCGACTGACAGAGATGAATGTTTGCACAAACCAAATGCTTACGGGCATTTTAAAGCCCCTTGGACTAGTCCATAGATCGCGCAAAATCCTTCATTTGGCCATTTGGGCGTGTCTATGTGTCATATATGTGGCCAATGTTTAAAAAAACTGCATACTCAAATGTAAAGATCATCCTCACTATAATGTTTTGAAAGTAATGAATTATTCGGTCCTTTTAACCATCGAAAAACCATTGTACACGGAGTTTCTTTGAAAAGAAAGATAGGATTTCAGTACGTGAAACGATGCATTTTAATTTGCCTTATTTTTTAGTGTTAATTTCATCTCAGCCAACATTCTCTTCTGGCTATGATAAATTTAAAACGAATCATTGGTTTCCCCATCATATAATTTCGCCGACCAGCGAAATGAAGGCTGCAATCTCACGCTGTTTTCACTGGGTATACATTTCTGCTCCAACTTTGAGGATCGGAAAAACCTGAGTCATTACCATTGACACCTCCGAAACACCAGGAGTCTAAAGTGGAGAATATACGGTTTGTGTGGTTCCTAAGAAAAATTTTCGTATAACTCAGTACAGCGCTTTTGTCTTCTTTTTCAATTTCGCCTCTTAATATTTTCAAAAATATCGAGTGGTGATAATGGATGTTTACTAACCATTGGGTAGATTCCAGAGATCAAAAGTTACAGACAAGAAGATTAATTGAGGTCATATCATAACAGAGAGAGACATTATGACAAAATTCAGAAGTTTTTCAAAGCAATTCGTTGCAAACGTACTTAATTTCTTTAGTGTATGTCTACAGAAGTGTAAAATTCGGTTATATTCCCATCATTAACACAGAGTAAAGTCGGGCTGGAAGACTTCCAGGTTAGTTGTCTTTGGAAGGTAGGAATTTTGTAATAATTTCACAGGTGTTGTGAATTCCTTGCTGGTCATGAGGTTGGAGCAATTCTGATGCAATATAAAAAAAATAACAAACCAGTCGAACCTAAATGCTTTTGGATATCGCTTCATTTTGTTGTTAATACAAGTAGAAAAAAGTGGATAATGTTCGAACATAGTTTAAATTCTCTTAGTGAAAGCCGAATGAAAATATTTATGGTCGACAGAAATAACCACAGCTTAATGACCAAATAATATATCCAAATTTCAGTTATAATCGTACTCATACAGTCCAACCAATGATTAGGCCAGAAGTGACCACTGACAAGGACTAGTGGATTGGATATCCATACTTGTAGCCTGAGAGATACATATATCACACACTAAATCATTTAACTTATTCTCTAAGTGCGTGGCAATCATACACATTCAGCCGAAGAACATTCACAGGAACGCATAGGGATGATCGCTGGACTCTCAGAAGAAACTATACTCCTTCATCTCGATGCAATTATGCACGGAAACTGGTTCTGGATGTCTGTAACAACTGCTATGAAGCACGCGGAGATAACTGTACAAGAGGATAAGGTCAGCTATCAGGTTTAAATCATTTGCACTTTGTTTGCTTATTTTACATATGCTATCTAATGGGTGAATATCTTACTCTGCTCGGGCAATTTCGATTTCCTGTTGAAGGCGGTTTGTAAACATTTGATCTGACTTGCTATTTTTTGTAATTGCTCAATACAAGTTTGATTCGGATATGTGCGGGGAGTTTGATGATTACGTTACCTGTAAGCGTGGGTCTCACTTCTTTTTGTTTGTCCGTCTTCAAAGTTTGTGACAGCTATTTCGTGTTTTGTTAGTGAAGGCTTATATGTTTATCGGGATATTTGCGACTTGTATAACAACCAGTAACTTATGTATTAATCGAGTCCTTTGATGCGTACGCAGCGAGCTTTACTACCTAATAAAGCTCACTGTTTGATAAAGATGTTGGCGAATCACCTCATATAGGGAATGACGTACCCTACTTCATTTTTAATAGACTCTTGTCAAAAGTAAACATAGCTCATACGAGTGTAATTAAGTCCTATGAGAACGTCCTGCTGACTAGTCGAGTACGCACCGTTGGAATTATTATGTATATTTGTGAGGAGCGTTCACTGAGGTTTGCGACTTACACAACTCCCATTTTTTGGTGACATTCTTGGAGTGAACTTGTATAACATTATAATACATATGAAGTTGTATCTGTCTGGGCACTAGACATTTAACCAATGGATCATAGTTTCAGACCCCGTTTCACCTACGGGGGTTGAGGCAGCCAGGTAGCATCGCTAGCCCTAACACGATAAGTGTGGTCCACTGACAACTGAAAAGATTTGCAAGTGGTTGTCCCCTATTTTTTAAATTTTTTCCCTTCTGTACAGTGTTTAAGTCGAATTGGGAACTATATAGGGGTGCAACGCAATATTACCCGACTGGACATTTTCGTACATGTTTCAACGGGATATTTCTAGTTTCGGAGATAACATTTCTCTGTGGTGTCAGTAGCAACCGCCTCCCTGGTAAACGATTGTGAATATTAAGACCGCACCAGAAATAACAGCTGTAGAAACAATAGTGTAATTGATGAATCTAAAATTGGATTGTTTTTGTATGGAGAAGAGGTCACAGTAACGGACTCATTCACCCGGAAGTTGAACTACTTACCCAGTTTGCGTTTCAGTACGCCATACATCATCGTCTTCGAAAATTATTTTCAAGTCTGCAGATCGTGTTAGCTGTATTTCCAGCCTAAACTGACAGTTACGAATGTCATAGACATCACACTGGATTTCTAATCGTATAAAGGCTCTAACATTACTACCTGATCTTAGATGTGTAGTGTAGAGTTGAATTTGTAATCATTACTCCTTCCCTATCTTCACATCTATATGGTTAAACAGCACACCGATGACTGTCCATTGGGATCACATTGAGTAGCAAGTTTTCTGCTTTTAAGGTCATTACTATCTCTTCATCAGTAAGTGAACAAGTACTTGACAGATATTTTTGCACCCATGGGATGGATGTTGCGAATCCATCGTATTGGGTGGGCGAGCTGAAGGGAAAAGCTACATGTGTATGCATACATCAAAAGCCAGAGATGTTCTCTAGTTAAACCTGTTTTTGGATTGGACATTAAATTCGGACATCGGGAGTTGCAATGTGAGATTTGTAGCGTAGTTTTATGACATTACAAATGCCAGTAATGGACATAATATTCAGAAAGACGAAGCTACTGTTCGGAGATTACTATCAGCTGTTATAGGAAAGCTAGAAAATGAAGGTAGGTAATGGAAAGTGGAATTTTATATGCATATAAAAGTGTGTGGACGATTGGTAATTCCAGGCTTCCCACGACATGGAACTTTATTTACACTTGAAGACCTTGAAAGGACAAAAGCCTAAGCGTTGTGTCTGTCTCTCTGTCTGGATTCAACATAGAACTTGGCACCGAAGTGCACCAGTTCGAGTTGCCACCTTCCAAATAGCACACAAAAGTAGACAAGAAGATGAGTGAAGAGAATCAATACAGTCTGAAAAGTATAAGAGTGAAACAGAATGGATAATAGTAGAAAGGAATATGAAAGATTACAGAGACTGAATACATCTGCGCCATTGACAACGATTTTGAGCCATGTCACCTATTGTCTCATAGAGTCCCGAGGGCCCCAACCCGGAAGTCTGCATCTCCCTACCTGACTCAGTTTAACTGTCAAGGATTTCATGGATTGACACCATGTTTTTGTTTGGCCACCACTTACTCTTTTCCAACCTGCACCTATATCAGCTAGTAATGCCCATCGTCGGGGGAGGCGATGGTTAGGCATGCGAAGCACGTGACCTAACCATCTCAATCTATGTAACTTTATAGCCTCGTCGATTGATTTTCCGTCTTTGCCCAACACTCTACGCCTAACGTCAACATTATTTACCTTGTTACCGACATGCTAATATGTTGTTGTCAAAACTGACTGAGATAACTTTAAATCTATGTAGAACTTTATTTATTGTTAACGTACTAACTGGATGCAATATTGTAATAAAAATGCTGAGAATTCCATTCTGTATCACAAGTACTGATTTGGAATAAAGCCATTACCTTATCTTATCTTAAGCCACCTAACGTGAGACAGAGATCGCAGACATCTATGATCGAAAGCAGTCAACCTTTTCATGTCTTCAACGCGTATTGGCCATGTTTCAGAGCCATAGAGAAGGACGGAGCGAACTGCTGAGCAGTACACACGTCCCTTGGTTGATAGCCGGATGTCACGCCTACGCCAGAGATGGTGTAAGTCAGCGAAAGCAGCTCGAGCTTTTCGGATCCGTGCTGAGATTTCATCGCCAATCAGTCCGTTGGTGCTAATACAACTTCCCAAATAGGTGAAGTGGTCAACATGTTCTATCACTTCACTCCCTATCACTAAGTTAGGAGTTGACGTAGTCCAGTCCTGTAGCAGCATCTTACATTTTACAGGGGCGAATCGCATGCCAAACATACGAAGATTGCTGCTCAAGGTGTTCAGAAGACTCTGCATTTTGTCAGCATCCTCCCCTAACAGGACTATGTCATCTGCATATTCTAAGTCCATAAGACTATTCCCTGGTAACAAGTCGATTCCTAAGTCGTTACGTTCAGTTAAGGATACTTCCATTAGCATATCTATGATGAAGTTAAACAGAAATGGGGAAAGTGGACATCCCTGTCGGACACCACTGGTTGTTACCAATTCAGATGACAATTCCCCATAAGCCCTTACACGACTACGTGAGTTTGAATAGAGTGCCTTGATTAGTGCAATGTACTTTCTTGGCACTCCCTTCACAGTCAGACATTGCCATAGTACCTTTCGATCCACGGAGTCGAAGGCCGCCTTCAAGTCAAGAAATATGACAATTGTTGGACGCCGAAAAGTGTGTCTATGTTCTAGAATCTGTCGAAGAGTGAAGATATGATCTATGCACCCTCTACCTGGTCTAAAGCCTGCTTGATTTTCCCTTGTCTGTTCCTCCCGAGTTCTGCTTAGTCTATGCATGATTACTGAGCCTAGGATTTTAGAGACTATGTTCGTTAGGCTGATCCCCCTATGATTATCACACGAGGACTTGTTTCCCTTCTTGAATATCGGTATAATAAGTGACTTACCCCAGTCTGATGGCACTGTCTCTGATTCCCAGACTTTGCCTAGTACCTCAGTTAATCTACAAACTAGTATGTCACCCCCATATTTAAACACCTCCGGAATAATTCCGTCGGGTCCTGCCGCTTTGCCTCGTTTCAAATTACTGATAGCTTTTGTGACCTCACTTACAGACGGCGGACCAGTGTCTATATCCCATTCGGGTGTGTGCTGATGTCGGGGAGGTTCAGTGTGGCTGTAGGCAAGTTAAATTGTCCCTCAAAGTGTTCTTTCCAGTCGTCTATCCTGAGAGCTAATTAAGGAGCCATTTTTCTCAGAAATAGTCTCACTTATGATTTGCCTTCTCCCACCCGTTTCCCTGATGAGTCTAAAGAGTTGCCTAGTGTTGCCTATCGCCGATGCTTTTTCCATCTCTTTGCCTTTGTCACCCACCACTGTTCACGGTCCTTGCGGAGACTTTTCGTAAGTTTCCTTTTGTGCAGCTTTCGCTCCTCATTGAATTCGGAGCTCGCCGGAATAAGTCTTCTAGCATCTATCAGTTCGGATGAGGCAGTCGAAATCCAGTGGTTTTTACTCACCTTTGGATTTACCTTATTCACAGCTTTTACAGCTGTATCTATGGCTGACTGAATATTCTTCCAGGCTTCTTCAGGGTGAGCACAGCTGTCGAACTCAGATATGTGTTTAGCTAGTTCTTCCTCAAATAGGATTTAGTTTCCTGATCGAGCTGGGGACGTGATGGTTTTACCGCCAGCTGTTTCCTACGTCCGTTCAGTCGTAAGCACACACGAGCCCGGACCAGTGCGTGATCGGTATCTACACACGTGTTCCAGAAGGAGCGACAATCTCCTACCGACCCACGCCAACGATAGCTTATTGCTATGTGGTCTATTTGTGTCCAGCGTTGGTTTGATGATGGGGGTCGCCAGGTCAAACAGTGTCTCTCCTTGTGTTTAAAGTTAGTGCTTACAAGAAACAAATGATTATCTGAACAGAACTGTAGGAGACGGTCACCGTTGTCGGTTCGCTGGCACGGACTCCATAGGTGCCACCGACATCCTTCTCAGATTGACACAATTTCCCTACTTGAGCATTAAAGTCACCAGCTAGAACGACTATATCTGAGCGTTTAGCCTTTCACACCAAACTAGACAGCTTTTGGTAGAACTCATCCTTCGTTTCATCCGAACTGCAGTCAGTGGGGGCGTAGGCGGAGATTACGAAAAGGCATCGGCGAGTAGTGCAGTCCTTTCTCCTTCTTACTGATCCGTTCAGACGGACAGCACACATTCGGCTATCTACCGGGATCCAGTCAAGTAATGTCTTTTCTGCCCTAGTACTCAAAGCTATCCCTACGCCAGCTAATCCTCGTGAACTGGCTGTGGCATCTCCTGACACCCTCAAGGTGAATTTTGAAGATTCATCCTGTTGGCCAGGTGGGGTTAAGTGAATAACCACACTTGGGTCTTCTTGAAGAAAACAAAAGCGAGTGTAACAACAAGATGTTGAGGTATGAAAATTATATAATTCATATAATTCAGTAGGAATTGTTAATTAACAAATGAGCTAAGCTCACTTAGTTCGATATCATACATATGAGGCATGAAGTATACAAAATGATAATGCAATTGAGAAAAGGTGAAAGGAAATTAACACTTAGTAAAAGATGATATAATCACTTAAGGTTAAAAGACGAGTTACCAAGGTAGAGGAAGATTTATTAAAGGTTCTGTTCTCAGTAACACTTGATGTTAAAATTGTAGTAAAAGTATTAACTCTCACTACTCAGGTTGTACGCGTTTGAAAAGATACCGACGAAATAAAACGCATCCATTTCAATTTGCTCCATCTCTTTTTATTGCTCTGTTCTTATTATATTCACTTAATATAAGAAAAGTATTAATTAATTAATTAACTTCTATGTTTAAATAAATTACGAGTTGCTTCTGATTTTCCCGATTTTTCGTTCTCTTCCCAAATTCTGGTAGTAGTGCTGTAATCCGAACTTAGTTCATCGAGAAATCGTCTTTTCAAACATAGTTCAGAGACGTCTTACCTGATTTTGTGCCTGCTTTGATGAGTATTGCTTTCTGGGGAGGTGGACTGAGATTTAATTTCTAAACATTATATCCAAGACTTAAATTCTATTTTTCCCTAAACAACTAGTTAGTATCACAGGCTCACCAATCAAGTGCAACTCGCGATTCGGTACATAAACGAAACTGCACAAACAGACCATGCTCATAACGATTTATTCTAGAGGTGAAAAATGTTACATTTACCGTTGAATTGTGATTTGCATTAGTAAATATTAAAAGATCCACGGTTCCAGCTCTGTTTCACTTGTTGTACTGAGTGGTTGCGAAAGTGCAATGCTAATAAAATCATCCTCTGCAGCTACAAATATTTCGTTATTTCAAAACCCTACAAGCTTAACATCCCTCTTTTACATACTTTAGTCAGAAGGAATAATACAAAAAACCAGAACTCGAGTGTACAGTAAACACTATCCCCTACCCACGAAATCACTAGCTACAATAGCAACTGTCCATCTGCACAAAAAATCAATTGAGTACAAGCGAGTTCACAAGAGCGAAGATAAGTTTTAGGTCACCAATCTTACTAAAAACATAGCACTTCAAAAATAACAAGTACCATCCATTATCGGCAGGATAAACTACTAAGTTATGTTTGCCTACATCATGTTTAAGTTAGTGCAGATTTTGAAGCCTGAAACAGTAATAAGTGCTGTGTGATAAGACTGTCACAGAAATCTCCAAGTATATTTGTCCATTTCAAAAGCTTCCCCTTGTACAATTTAATGATGAGTTTGCTGCGAGACTTCTCAGTAACACTTGGTGTTTTCAAGCTTACCAACCTGCATGGTAGGGATTTTTCTTGAGAAGCAGTTACAACAAACAAGTGTAGATGAACTAGTGAACTGATTAGAAGAATGCCAAGGGTTATGTCTAATTTATTTAACCTCTCCTACCAGTCGATTTCGATTTATTTGCTCAGCATACGTGCGCTAGTCATTAAGGTATCTATTATGTGGAACCTGGAGAATAAGCTTCGGATTTCTGACTTAATAAACTATTCGTTTATATAAGATGTCTCCGGATCGTCGTGTTACACGATGTTTTACAGCCGTCCTGTTTGTCTGTAACGCTGATGAATAGATTTTCTTTCTGTTTTTATAGGTTTCGGGGGCTAGCAACTAAATGCTTCTGTGAAGATTAAATCTAGAACACACAAAATTAAATAGTCATGCTTCGAAATGGACAATAAATATTACGATCTCGATATTCCTATTGAAGCAGTAAATGGATGTCTTCTTGCACGACTTTTTGATTGTGGATATCAGTATGTAGCAGTCAATCAGCGCGTATCAATCGACGACTTCAATTTTGATGTTAAGTCAGATTCTGTTGTTCGAAAGAAAAGCAAAGAAGAGAGACAAGCGATGCGACAAGAACTTTTAGCGAAATTAGAGCCGCCGTCTTCAGAAGTTCTAGAAAAATATATCAAAGAAAGTAGCGCATTCAGAGCATCGGCATGTTCACCTACAGTATCGTGTAAACCACGAATCTTCACACGTCTGACATTAGAGTGTGATGATGCCGGAAATGCTGGATTATTTTTCCGTCAGTTTGAGAATAAACTTAACGCTTTTGATGTTGTCAGTTTTTGTCCTACCTCAAATGCAGCCCTTGTATATGCCTGTGAGAAGGCTTTAAATATAGATCTAATAACATTTGATCTCACAAAGACCTGTGAAATCCGTCTGCAAAGTAAACAATGTAACCAGATGATGTCACGAGGCATTCACCTTGAATTCCAACTTGCGCCTGTACTCCGTTCCGCTTCCAGTGTCCACAGCGCGCGTTCAGTTTTATCGCAGTATTTCAGCAGCTTACTTTGCTACTCACGAAAATCGTTTATCAACATGATAGTCGTCAGCTCTGGAGCATCTTGTGGGTGGGAAGTTCGTCGACCCGTAGCCGTATCTGCCATGCTTAGTTGTCTTGGACTCCAGCCCCGCGAAGCTACCCATTCTTGCCTTACAAAAGCTCCTTTCGCCGTCGTGACACACGGTCTTATGCGGAGTAAAACTGCACATGGTGCGGCTGCACTTCTCAAGCTCCTGCCCATGCCAAACGTCTCTTCTATTGTTGTTGAACCTATTGTAAACAAACAACCTGAGGAGAACATTGATTCTATAAATGACGAAACACCTTGTAAAAAAATGAAATTGACAGAATAACTATGTACCCAGCTTTTTGTATATAGTAGTAAAATTAGTCATACACATGTGTTGACGAGAGACGTTTTTCTTCTGAAGACAAACTTTCATGACCAAGGTTTATAAGTGATAAATGCATACCACCACTACACTATTACCTTTGGGTCCACGTGCTGCACTAATTCATATTTGCTACTAAAACTATAAAGATTGCATTTAGTACTACCTCTTAACAAATATAGGAATTATCACTTGCCAATGATAATATCAACACTGTAATCATAATGAAGACTTCACAATTTATAGCTGAATCTTACGTGATAAAGAATACACTTATTAGCTACACACGACATTGTAGTGATCAGGTAATATAACTTGAGGACATTAGCATTATCGTTTACACACTCACATTAGAAGCAAAAAAAACTGTCAGTGTCAGAAAAATGCTTAAGCAGACTTTATTTTACATGAAAACAAGGCTTTGAGCTCATATTATACACAACTGTAGTATACACATGGATCAATATTTGGCCTTCTTTAGTAGTCCAGGACGCCAGTAGAGCGGATGTGTTTCTTCCGTCTAAAAATAAATAAGTACATTTCATTAACTTTTTCATGAAGTAGACGGTAATAGTAAGAACAAATAAGACTTTTGATATCGCCCTATTTGTAAAACCAATCGAGAACCTGTTTTGAAAAACAAGTCTTGGTTGTGTACTCGCAAGGACTTTTTGTTACACTGCATTGGCACCCGATGGTAGTACGGGATGAGATCCGACTATACTTCATTGAACGTGTTTCAAAAATGAGATCAACAAGCCATTTTAACGTGATTAAAACATAAATGCGCTAAGCCAGTGATTAGAACCAGTGATAACGCTTAGATGCATACCAATAAGAAATTAGCATACTGGTTGACGTGTTGTAATGAGTCAACATCAAACAGCACACACCTTCAATTTATTATGCAGATAGGTATGTAGGTATGAGGCACTTAATGCTCATAGACTTTTGGAATTGACAGCAGTGCCATCGGATTGTATAGAGTATTGTAGGTTATCCTTGCCGTGTTGTACGTAGCACTAATATGTACAACAGTTTCTGAAGGTGTACACTTCTAATTCTCTCTTATGAGTGTTGGACTGGAAAGCTATATGAGGAAAAATACCATAAAATAATTACCGCTGTTTCGTCTTCTTTGAAAATTTTAATCGTTTTATCCGCTTCACATGAGACTAAACGAGATCCACTGCGATCAAAAGCTAGGGCAAATATTCCGGCTTCAGAGTCAATACTACCGGGCTGAACTTGGGCTTGAAGGCGCTGGAAGTTGTAACCTGATTTCCAGTCCCAAAAGTGAACGCTGCCATTATCACCTAGGATAAATAAAGTAAAAATTTATTCAGTCTTCTGGAAGTAGATGTACTGAGTCGAATAATTTAGAGGATATTCAAGAGGTACTTATTGTTATGAGCTGGAAGAAAAACATTTGCATACCTCCACTGACGACCACATTATCTTGGTTAATGGCAACAGTGTTTATGATAGCATTATGTCCAGAGAGGTTTTGTAGGAAAACACCATTAGGGAGTTTCCATTGCTTTATATTATCAGGAGAACCGGAGACAAATGCATTCCTAAAATATACAAAGTGAATATGTTATAAAAACCGAAATTGCAAAATAAGTAATACAGCACTGAAATTTGCTACAACAAATGTATCTGGTGTAATCTTTTGAATATCTCTCTATTCGCATCTCAGTGATTGTATGAAAATCTCGTTGACTGGCCAAAAACTTTAAACGTCTTCACCCATATATCCAAAGCAAAGATCGGTTACTAAAGAAAGTGAAATACATTGATTTTGGTGTGAATGCGCATAAATTCAGGTAAACGAAGTCATTGTTCGATGTATCAAGTCGTAAATAAATTGCAGTAAAATACTAAGAATTTTTTGAATGTGTTGGAATAAAGGAGATCACAAGATATTTTGCTGAAATTTATCAAAGACTAGGAGAATTGTGGTACGGTGGTAGAATGCTCGCCAATCAAGCAGGCGGTTCGAGTTTAGATCCCCGTCGACACACTCCTTTACCTCGCTAAGCCGGTAATAAGACTGGTAAACAGGGGAGGTTGGGCATGAGGCTAGCAACCCCATCCCGTAAAAATAAATACCACTGCTTCTGAAACTTCAAGCCTCTAGCATGAAGCCCTATGTTCCATTGGGATCGTAAAGGAATAAAAAAGAAGAATTATCGATAACCTTAGACGAGTATAAATGACCAGATAATTCTACAGTACACTTTACGCAGACATGTTTCAACATCCTAGGATGGAGAAGACGAAATCACCAGTGAGATTAGTGTGTTGGTAGTCTAAGATGGCTTCCACTATTTGTTTTGCAGAAGTTAACCGTGATCCCCTAGCCAGATTCTTATGTATCTCCCCAAAGAATTTGGATAGATAATTGTGGACCACTTATAGGTAAATATTTATTTTTCAGACGTTCTGAAGTTTTTGTGACAACCCTTACAGAAGCAGGGTTCATCATCAAGGTACTTTGTTAATCCCTTGGTCGAGAGGATATTCTTCAGCTTTTGCTTGCAACAACACAGTTTTTGAAACAGAAAATTGGTTTCAGACATTCATTGACTGCAATTCTATCATCTATGTTTTAACAAAAATTTTGTGTAAACATTCAAGACAGTAATGAAATGTACAAATACGAGCATATTTATAGAACTTAAAATAACAGCATCAAAATGTATATGATAGAGTACTACAAAAAATTATTTAGCTACGCTACATAAAACCCGGCACTCAAGAGCTTGGCTCTGATCTTCAGGGTGCGCACCAATAGAAGAGGGAGTTACCAAAAGTGCTGGGAACAGAATGGAAGAAACTTTCAATTTACATGACAGTACATTATATCGTACACATAGTCACATAAAACACCGAGAGATCACTTCTGATTCTGTTGTAGAGAGAAATGCAGTGAGTTCACAACTAAAAGATTCTTCAGAAATCAAAGGTGTAACGGGCTAACAGAAATATATTTTCAAGTATTCGTTTTTGTAGAGATTTTGTTTGATTGGTTGGATGATTTCATCATGAGCTGACATCAGTTAGAGAAACACTGGAAGTACTGGACAGCCGTTTCTCCCTAGTCTGGGGCTCTTCATCAGTACGCACCCACCACCATAGTTCCAACACAGGACCTTCTGGTTGCAAGGCGAGCTAGCCCGCAGACCATTAAGGCACTGGGGCCCAATAGCGGGCATATGATTGGCTGGAGAACTTCATCGTGAGCTGACTGGCCCTATTTAGGCAGTTACCTGGGGTTCTAGCGGGAAGCTGTGACCAGTAGAGTACAAGCAGGTTGAAGGTGCGGCAGTAATTCATCGAAGAAGACATTGAGAAGTGGTCGCGCTATGTCATGAACTGGCAGAAGTTAGAATCCATGGGCAGGCCATTGGATCGGGCCCCTGTGCATTAATGGTCCACGGGCTAGCTCTCCTTGCAACCAGAAGGTCCTGGGTTCGAACCCTGGTGTTGGATGCGTGCTGCTGAAGAAATATGTTTCACAAGATGGTCAGAAAATTCAACAAGAGTCAGTTCTGTGAGATGTGGTAAATTCCGAGTGCTCATACGGAGAAATTTATTACAAACATAAGTCAGTTCAATCTGTCTAATTGCCTTCTAAGCATACAGGTAGATGTTGAAACTCAATTAACCATCTTAATTTCTTTTATTACTATTGTGTGAGCGACAATGACCAATAATACTTTTATTAATACTGGGTGTGAGTATATTTTCGGAATAATACAAAATAATCCCACTGTTGGTTCGGGAAATCGACTGTCTGAATTCTAACTTTCGTGTTAATACAGAATTACTACTGCAGTCTTTGTTCTTCATGAATGATCTCATGTAGAAGTTCTAGTTAGTGTTAAGTGTGGACATTACTTAATTCGAAAATAGGAATTATTAATACACGATAGGAAAAAGAAATCAAACTTTAGGTAAACTTACTGGGTTGGATGAATACACACAGCACGAACCGATTTCTTGTGGTTTGTAAGGCAAGCTAGAGTACGTCCTGCTGCCAAATCCCACAAGCGAACGGTGGAATCATGAGAACCAGTGATAACTTGAGGATCAGATTCCTGGCAACGTACAGTTGCTACTGTGTTTGAATGTCCTGTTAAAGTATGAACATTAACCTAGAATAAAATAGTTGAAAAATTGAATTACGAAGAAAATTCATCAGTGAAATAGTACCAGAGTGAATGGTTATTTTTTTTTAAAAACACCGACTGGGTTTCAACGTAGCATTGTGCACAAAAATACAACAGATGAAGCTCCCATATTTCATAAACACTCAAATGTAGTGGAAAAAACGCAAAGAGATTACAACACGCAGTAACGTGCACGATATAAACTAAGTACATGGAGTTCAATGGATTGAAAAGGTTGCAAAAAGTGAATGTATCTGCATAACTGAGAATGATTTTAAGCCACATTGCCGAAAGTTTCCAGTCATTGGTTCGCAGCATATCAGTGATCACAGCCAGATAGTTTACACCTTCCTACGTAGGCCAAACCGACAATCAAGTACTTCATAGTTCTATGCCATATTTTGATTTGACCATTGTCGACTCTTCTCCAACCTAACTCGATGTTATCTAACACTGCTCGATGGGGAAAGCGATGACTTGGTATGCGTAACACGTGTCCTAGACACCGTCAATAAAAAAAACTAACTTGATGATCCAGTACAAATTTAAGCTCTGGATTTTGAATCATATAGGTAAAGGCTTACAATACCTCTCAGTTGACTAAAGTGAATCAAGTGAAACGGATTCACATCTATGACCTATTGCATTTAAGTCAATTAGCATGAACCAGTTAACTAATTTTACATGATGAATGAGTCCATTCCACAATACAAAGTGATTTACTGGATTGTAATATAAATTAGGAGTTTTGACATTAACTAGCACTGCACTAATTCACATAAATTCGCTTAGTTTTGACAAAACCCGTCAAATTAATTTAGAGATTACGGGATAGAACTGAAAATGAATTCATTTTCACAACTGGTTTATTCAAAAGTCTGAAAATATCATTTTCACTAATTAAATTTTAAAAAGCAAATCAGAATGAACATATAGTCGGCTTAATTATTTTTTACATAACTTACTTTGGTTCTCATGTCCCATACTCGTGCAGTTGCATCTCGACCACATGTAAGAAGCACATCAATTGTTGGGTGAAGATCAATATCGTAAACAGCAGACATATGTCCATGGTAATGTCTAATCACCTTTATATTTAAGCGTATATTAGGTTGACTCCAAAAATACCTTATTTTGTTCTAAATCCCAACAGCGAACAGTTTTGTCTTCCCCACAAGAGAACAAGTAGGGGTGACGAGCACTAACAACAACCCCTCTAACTGTACTTATATGACCAGTAAGTGTAAGTTTTAGTGTTCCACTGGCGAAATCCCAAACCTATATTTGAAGGTGAAGGTATGTGAAGTAGGATTACCTTAATCATCCGGTCCGCCGCGCCTGTAACAAAGAAATCGTTGGTTGGATCGAAAGCAACGCAACGAACCCATCCTGTATGACCACTAACAACCTGAAAGAGGAATATATTGAGCAAGCAGTTAATTACGCGACACAGTTTCCAGGGTGGATGCCATGTTGGTTTGGGCATTGTAGGAGCTTTTTTCGGGAGAAGTAGCTTTTCATTGCCGATTTGAACTACGGAAGAGTTTTGTTCCAATGCTGACCTTCAAAATATTCCTTATTATACAAATTACCAACACTTACTTAGGCTTTGCTTTGTCAGATGGAACAATAGCTCCAGATTGTGATGTGTCTGAAGATGCTAAAAGATGTAGGAGCTAAATATTTGATTACCTTCTTTAGGTTTTAGTGGATTCTGGTTGGGTTCTTTTAGAACTGGACCATACTGGTCTTTAGCTTTTATAGCAACTTTTAGGGAATTACTAGGAAACAATAATCGCAATTACCACGCACCTTTTTTTGTCAACTTCTGGGAGGCGACTCTGATCAGCTTCAAACATATCATGAGTTCGCTTGAGAGAGCGAAAAACAAGTGTATGCACAGAGTGACGCTGAACAATCTAAAATCCTAAATGACAATTTTTTGTATGGAAACTGACCTCCATTTTTCAGAAATAAGTTGTTGATGGACACAAATGTCAAAGTTATTTTCTTATAACTCTTCAATATATCAATGATGTAACAGTCGACAAATGAATAATCCTCTTGACATTTATATCAAACGAAGATTAACTACTGAAAAAGTAAAGTAGACCACTAGAAAAAGAAAACGAGAAAATGAAAAAAGGTGAATAAACAACAGGTCGACAATCACGGAAATAAAATACGCTTATGCTAACACAATCAACAATAACTGAAACTATCCGATGCCTTCTCTTACGGAATTCCATTAATTTATGGACTGACCAAAAACTTGAGGTAGAAGATATGGTAGAGAATTGCCATAAGACTTATAAACTCATCTACAAATTCTTTGTGTTCACAAAATTTACCAAATACGCCGAATATTGCTTTTTTTGTTTATGCCTTATTGAGCACGTCAATCACATAAAGTCATATGAAGCCACATATGAAGTATGGAGCACCTTTAAATAATTATATTATACGAAGTCTGTATTTTAACAAAGGAAACTTTGTATTAAGGGATGTGAACACAGTAACATAAATACATTGAAAAAGGGGGAGAAATTAACGCTATTCTAGTTACTACAGCCTCACACCAAAACTTGCTATTAATAATATCACATAAGTATGGTAACCTGCTACTGTAACTTACAAGCAGTTCAAGACCAGTTCTTAAAGTATGTAAATAAAGCCAAAATTCAGTCACCCTCATGAGGCATATACAAAAAAAGAACATTGACTACCTACACGTGTAAGTTATGATTTATTAAAGCCCAACCGAAAGACAGTGAAAAATCCAATGCTATGAGGATGAAATAAAAAGAACGGTCAAATAATCGTACCGGAAAAGTTCTAAAACTCACATTTGCAGTAGGGTAAAGCTTGGTTAGGCACAGCACAATGCCTTGAGGGGACGATCGAAATTGGGAAAATAATATATAAGAGAAGTAATGAAACTAGAAAATGTAGTCCTACGAGTCGTTCGGTTCTATTCTGTGCAGGAAAAAAATTAATTCTCACAAATATTATACGTGCGGAATTCAACCAGACAAGACAGTTGGTGCAGAAAATAAAAAATCCATTATCACAATTTGGAAATCGTAAGTACTAGCAACTATAATTCCTCTGAATACCCACAACAAAGACTGACAAAACAACAGTGGAAAGTCCACTCCGATTCAAACAACACAGTTAAACTGTCTACAGTCATCTAACGAAAGAAACATTATGAATGTATACTAACTGGAGGTACCATGAATATTACACCATTCAGCTCTTCTTAGTTGTTTTAAGTAATAAACAAATCCACTTAAAAGAGTCATCAGTTCACTTATAAATGAATACATTTGTGATGGAGTTGAAGTGGCAAGTCAGTCCACAAGCCGTACTAGGCCAAATAAAGTATAATTATATTTCAATAGTTTACACACAATGATAACCAATAACAAAACTTATCATTGTGTAAACTATTGAAATATAATTATACTTTATTTGATCTAAACCACAATGCTCAAATTTTTTACTGATATTAAAGCGTACTAGGCCGTTATATCACGATATTGCAACGCTAGGGATATTATCTCTAAAGACTGCTAGGTACATAAGATAAATTTAGTTACGATTCACTCATCACATACTTGTTAGACATCGATGTGAAAGGGTGTAATAGCGACTATGTTTACTGTTCCATCAATAATTTGGAACACACATGAATCCGATCCAAAAGTTACTAGGCTACAGAATCGCTGTCACAAACTTTTACACTGAAGTACATTCCATGCATGATGGACGACAATCAAACTTATGTGCACGGTAATCATCTGTATATTTGACAAAGTTAGCTTCATTTAAATGAGGTAGGTCGAGTAGGAAGAAAAAAAAGGAGGGGGAACGGCAACTTGAGGAACACCGGCTTTTGTAAGCGAGGTAGAAGACTTGCCATTATATACAGTATACTGCATTCTATCAGAAAAATAAGAATGCAACCAACTCTTGGTCCAGGATCCTGTTTGTATCAACCAAAGCTTATTTAATAAAAGGCCCCCAGGTACAGAGTCAAAAGCAATGTGTAGTTTAAGAAAGCACTACGAACATATTTGGCACCTTTGTCTAAACAAGAAACAACATTGTGATATAGAAGTATGAAGTTGTTCCCATTTCACCAGACGTCACTGATGACAATCACTCTTACTTTTCTATATGTGTACACAGTTCTCGCTTGTTTATAATTATTTGGTTGCTGTGATTACACGAAAATATTCTACGTGGTCCTGCATTATGTCAAACTATTGAGCTCACTAGTGTATATTTTCATCGTCTGACGAAATTTAATCAATGTCTCTACTAGTAATAACAACTGCACAAATTCGCCAGCAATGTACTTTAACTATAAGACTTATTTCACACAGTACTATGCCCCCCTAAAGCAATCAATTTATGAGAAATGACCATTCAAAATTCGCCACAATGATACCAAAGAAAAGAAACATGAATATTCTGTCTTCACAAGTGATCAAAAACTTCAAGTGGGTTATTTTATTTTTACTCCAGCCATTGGTAAACACCATTGGCTAGAGACAATTGGTGATACGTCTCAAAATCGTTCACAGTGGCGCAGATGCATCTGCTCCTTGTGAATTATAATTTCCAATAAAACTATATTGTTCTTCGATATTACTATTCTTTATGCCTCATATCTCCCTTCACTGCCTCTATTTTGGGTATTTGGCTTTCTTCTCTAGCTCTGTGTGCTGGGTGAAGTGTGGCGACCCGAACTGCAGCACATCGGTGCAAAGTTCTGTGTTGAAACCAGTCAGTCAGCCAAAAATGATACTAGGATTAAGCTTCAGTTGTTACAGGACGGAGTATATATAACAGTCAACACAGCTAGCAAAAGCATCGGGTGCACTGGAAAAATTTGGGGGCGGAAAACCTTACATTCACATCTTATAGTGGGACATAATGCCATGACGTTGAGGCGCTTCCTCAAGTCACCCAGCGTTTCTGCAGTCCGCTTGATATTCTGCGGTGCCCCCGAATTAGATGCTATTGTTATCGCATCTGTCGTTCTCTTCAACTTTGCTACGGAATTTTCAGGGTAAAACTTTGGGGCGCATTGAAGAAAATCGAGACGGTTTCCTACAGTGGTCCCAGAGTTACTGCAGTACAGCCGAAAGCAATGCTACCTGGGAGAAAATATTTAATTCGCATTGCTGAAGATATACCTTAATTAATTCGGAAATTTCGCTTTAACCTGCACATAAGACGAACAAATAATAGTATTAGAATAGTTGTGTTTCTCAATAAATGTGTTGTAACACTCAAGTGTGATTACACAATTTAACCTTAAAACCCCATTCTTGGGGAAAAGATTTATATTCAGTCTCCTATTTTTTACTTTTAGTTATGGAGACATTAAATGAGTCAGCATGGAAGACAACAACAAACCTAGACTTGCACAGTTGAAATCGTAAGTCTTGCAGGTGTAACGCTGAAAGGCATAAATGGCGGTGGCTCTCTATGTTCCAATATCCAATATCGTTTTTACGAGCTAGTATAAACAAGTTTGATTTCTTTGTGCTCCCTTCTTGATTGTGAGGTATAGGTGTGGAGAGAGCAGGCTGCTAGCCAATTGGTAGACATCAACTTACCTCAATGTCTATGTCGCTAATATTGGTCGTGAGAAAATGTGAACAAGACTGATTCAACAACCAATCACAGCAGACTTAACGTGGGCAAATACGATTCGCAGATATATGGCTTAACTTTCTAAGAAACCAGTCAGAAGCAGTACAGAATAACCTTGAGCAAGAAAACAACCAATTAGAAGACGTTGCTTCTCCGCTGACAATAATGTACATAAAAATCTATAAGTATCTGTTGATTTTCTCAATAAACAATCTGTTGCCTGACTCTTCTCTTTTGTCGTTACAATTGGTGTCGCTGCCTCCAAAAAATGAAGATCCCATGGCCAAGTGCGTTTGAAGAAGGAGACATACGGAGCTTCTTACGTGACCTCAAGGCCGTCACTGAACTGGTAGGTGTCAAGAAGTAGGTGGCGAAGGCGGTTGTCCCGGGGACGCTGTTGAGAGGCCGAGCGAAGGCGGCATATGACCGCGTGGTCAGGTCAGGTGGCACAGCGTCTTTGAAGACATTGGTTGAACGATTGGTGTCGGAGTTTGACAGCGCAACAGACAGACAGCTAGTAATGCAGCAGTTTAGTTCAACGAAGCTGGGACCTGATGGAGACCCGTTAGTGTTAGCGGTGAAATTGTCGAGTCTACTTCGACGTGTGCTTCACACTTTGGATGAGGAATCAGAGGCGCAGTTACTGAGTTCCCGGTTCGCCGAGAGTGTCCCAGACCACATTTCTTAGCGATTACAACTGGTTAACGCTGTGCAGCCAATGGATATTAGTGAGCTGGCGAAGGTGACCAGACAGCTGCTGAGCACAACTGTAGCCTCTATATAGCAACCATAACCAAAGGAATACGAGCGGAAGATCGAAGAGTTGCAACGTAAAGCAGCCGCGCTGAGACTGAACGTGCCGAGAGACCGGTGTTTCGCATGCGGTAAACTGGGCCACTGGAGAAACCGCTGCCCGGAGAGACGACAAAGAAGAGGTTTCAAAAGATTTAACATGTCTTCTTCCTGTGTTTCGAGACTTGAGGTAAGAGGGGCAGTGGAGAAGGGGGCGATATATTCGAAATTATGTGTAAATAACCGCGAATCGGTGTGTTTAATTGACACAAAGGCAGCAGTCTCACTCGTAGAGAGGAGCCTACGTGAGAATATGAGACCGTGCTCGTTGACAGTACAGACACTGAGGGGTTACGTGTTAAGAATCGAGGGAGTGTCGGACTGCAGAGTTAAAATTAGAAAGGATAGTGCGAGTTTCCCATTCTTGGTCGTACCTGAATTGCGCGGAACAATCCTTGGGGCAGACTTTTTGCGAGAAGTGGATTCAGTGATTAATATGAGGAAAAGGGTTGTCGTTACAAAGTATGGTTGTTTCAGCGTGCACGAGAATAGTGAGGTAGCAAGGATTGCGGCGTCGGAAGTCCTAAGTGGGGCAAAGTTACTCAGCAAATAAGAGCATCTTTTCACTGGAGAGGGAGATCCGTACGGTTACTATGATAGAGTGAGACATGAAATTCCAGTGACAAGCGGAAAAAGGAGACCATTCGTTACTCAAAGACCCCGTGTCACTTAGAAAGCGAGGTTGCAAGACAGGTTGAAGAGATGTTGAGGGATGATATTATTGAAGAAGCCGATAGTTCATATAGTTCTTTAGTGCTATTGGTGAAGAAAAGCAGCGGGAAATACAGATTTTGTGTTGATTTCCGACAGTTGAACAGTACAACAGAACTGAGACCGTGCGCGATGCCAACAATAGCAGAGACTTTGGATCACTTACAAAGTGATAAGCTGTTCACAGTCTTAGATCTGCGATCGGGATACTGGCAGCTGCCAATAGAAAGAAAAGATAGAGATAAGACGGCGTTCTTTGTGGGACAAAAGCAGTATCTTAAAAAATTATATTTATGACTTATGATTGGACAAAGTTTTTAAAAACAAGAGATGTTCCTTTTATATATAACCCTATGCTATGTTAATGTCGATTAATTTCCCTGAAGAAGTTCGGACCAGATTGCCGAACGATACTTTGGAATCACTCATTTCAATATCGCTGAGATTTTCTAAATATAATTTTTTTACGAATGTCTACTTCTCACTCGGCACCCAAATATTTTAGAACTATTCTGTCAAATTTTGACTACAGTTCGTTTGATTTAAAAGCAGTATCGGTTTAAACGCGTGCCTTTTGGATTGGCAGGTGCTCCATTTACATTTAGACGATTAATGACGTCGCTGCTGAAGAATTTGAGGAACGTCGAAGTTTATGGAGATGATCTAGTGATATACAGTACGAGCGAGACTGAACACGTAGAGCATGTCGAGGCGGTCCTAAGACGCATCGAAGAATTCGGTCTACGTATCAACAAGGAAAAATTTCAGATTGCCAAGAAAAACGTTGCATTTTTGGGTCACAAGGTGGGAAATGGCGAGATAACACCGCTACCGGAAAAACCTTAGCAAACAAGTCTATTGAGCCCCCGCATTCGAAAAGGAAATTAAGACAGTTTTTGGGGAGAGCAGCGTTCTACAGCCGATTCGTGAAAAACTTCAACGAAGTGGCAGCTCCGTTCTACCGGCTATTAGACGAGTCAAAGTTTGTCTGGTCGGAAGACTCACAGAGAGTATTTTACCGCATCAAACACCCGATGGATCACCAGAGAATGACGCTGCGACTACCAGTGCCGGGGGAGCCGTTCATAGTGTCTACCGATGCTAGCGATTATGGAATAGGTGCAGTACTCAGACAGGGTGACGGAGTCGTGGAGCACGCCAGCCGTGTATTAACGCACACGGAACAGAAGTTTTCAACAATTGAGAAGGAGTGTTTGACGATTGTGTGGGCGCTAAACAAATGGAGACCCTATTCATTTGGTCAACGGTTCCACTCAGAGACTGATCATAAGCCGTTGCAGTGGCTGAGAAACTCCAGAGACCCACGTGGGAAGTTGTCACGGTGGATGTTGCGCCTGCGAGAGTATGATTTCAGGATCTCTCATGTTTCAGGAGAACAGAACTTGTTACTTGATATGTTATCCAGAACAAGAGGTAGACTTACCTGGAATAGCATATGGTGTAAATGCCTTAGAGCAAGACCCAGCAAGACTTGTCCAGATTCAAATATCAGACGACACCTTAAAACTGTCATACAAGTGATAACTTACGAAAAAATGGTGAATCGACCCGCAGCGATCCGTGAGCTAAGTCTCCTACTCAAACAGAGAGACCGGTTAAGCTTGAATGCCTGCAGAATGTTGACGTGACGGGAGGATGACGGAAGCTGCTTAGCAGTAATACCTCAATGCCTGCGTCAAGAGATGATACAGGAATGTCACCAACCAGCGCACACAGGCGTTGCCCGAACGAACGATCTCCTGGGACAAACCACGTACCGGCCAGGTATGAGAGAAGACGTCGAGAAGTACGTGACAGCGGGTACGCAATGTCAGCTGATGGCAGGTGATCAGCACATACTACCGTCACTGCAGTCGATCCCAGTGACAGCAGTAGGAGACCTGTGGTCCGTAGATGTAATAGGACTTTTTCCACAAACGTCCGATGGCAATCAATATCTTCTGGTCATGACAGAACATGCCACACGATGGCTAGACGCAGTCGCGATCCCTGACCAACTCGCAAAAACGGTGACAGAAGCAGTGGTTTGACATATCGTTGCAAATCATGGTGTGCCAAAAGCGATATTGACAGACCAAGGTCCGTGTTTTGAAAGCGAAGAATTTAAAGGCCGACTACAATAGTTAGGCATCAAGAAAATTAGAACGACGCCATATCATCCACAAACGAACAGATTGACGGGGAGAAATAACCACACACTGAAAGGGTTGCTAGCTACAAAGGGTGGTAACTGGGAAACAGAGCTTCCTCTGATTCTGCTAGCACATCGTGCGTCCGTGCAATAAACGACGAAGGGCAAAGTTAAACTTTCGATACCACTAGCAACCAATCAGCAAACGACCTTGAACGGACCAATCACATTAGATAGGCTTATATGATGAATGGAAACGCATATTTATAGAAAAAAGCATAAAGAAGGATAAAACGGTTACGAGGAGTATCTTCTTCGAATATGTGAGAGAAACATCCCTCAGTTTAGCATGTGACTGTCAATGGCGAAGTCACAGCACATCCTGTACTTATATTCATCTGAACAGCTGTAGATGAGATCCTTTTCAGATCCATTTATAGCCCTTATCTTGTTTTTCAAGCGGCCTTAAAAACCTTCAGTGGAATTCGTATGAGTCCTCGTAGCGCGATCCACACAGCGAACAAGTGATTGTCTCTATTTTACACGAAGCAATATCTCTGCAATGCTGGTACCTCTAAACTGTTTAGACAAGACTATTCTCAGTCTCGGCAGCTGCTGTTCTCATCGGCTGTTTCAACACCCAGTAATTGCAGATATACAAAATCTGGGTTAGGGAGAGATGTGACCTAGCGGAAAAATTTCCCACGAAATATTAAAATTATCAGCTTACCCTCTCTAATATTAGCATGCTTCAAACATATAGCACAACGATGAACAAACCCACCAGTTGATCTGCTATAGCTTTTTAAAGTCATGATACCAACACAGCAATTTAAAACCAGGCAATACTGGAAAACACTAACATCTTCAAATTGCTGTCGTAACCTTGTAAGGTCACGCATTAGAAATGAATCAAGCGCTCTACAACATTGAACTACGTTCGTGAATCTCATTGGATAATTCGACATCGTTCTTAAATCTCATTGGATAATTCGCTGATAGGTAGTTAGTGGTGTCGAAAGTTTAACTTCGCCCGACGAAGAAAGCACCATTTCAGTTGATGTGTGAGACCACGACTACCGATACATAACAAGACCTGGCCCCTCCATCAGCATTGGAGTATGACGAGATGGTGGACGGGGCGGAAAGAAGCCATCAA